TGAGGCTGCCAAAGTGACTAGGACTTGAGAGGAAAAATTACAGAGCGAGCACTCAAGGTGAAGGGAAATGAACGAGTCCTTCACCCTTGTTCCTTTTCAGGTCACTGCTCATTCCTGCTACGCATCCCCTGGAAGAGACTCCAAAGCCCCAACAGAAAAACAGGATCGAAGAGAACAAAGAGCTGAGCGAAAGTTTAATTAAACAGCTGTGTGTTGCAGCAAAGATGGAAGTTTGAGTCCAAGCCCAGTAAGATGAAGTAGTAGGAGCAAAGAAGATGTCAAAGTACCTTGGGCTTTTAGCTGAGAGGCAAAAATATTATGTCCTAGAAGGAAGGCCAAAGCTGAAATAGAAAAGCCTCATTTATGATCAAAACTATCTCCCTAAAAGATGAAAAATGATTTATGTATAAAGAGTTCCTAGAGATCAATAATATTTAAAAATCCAATAGAATAATAGACAAAAGACATGGATAGACAATACATAGCAAGGAAAAGAAAAACAGATGTTAAAACATGAAACTAATACCTTGGATGGGGTAGAAATTGTCAAAGTATGTTATATGTCTGTACAAATATGCCAGATAAAACTCAGCTATAGGAAGAAGCAGAGAGCTCATCAAATTTCAGATAAGTAGTAGAAAAAGGAACTATTGGAAAAGAGTAGCTTGCTAATAGATGATATTGTTGTGAAAAGTCTAATTATTCTCTTTATTCAGTACCTGATAGAATTGTTACTTGGTTGCTTATATATCTAGCAATCTAATAGGGGAAAAATCAATACACAAGTTTCAAGATGGGAGACTATATGAGTTACCTATTTCTGCTTAACAAATTATTCTACAGCTTAGTAGTTTGAAATAACATTTATGACCTTGGTACTTCTGTAAAGCATGACTCTGAGCTTGGTTTATCTGGTTGTCCATGTCAAGTTCTTTCCTTGGGCCTGCTGGCCTTGGGGAACGGACACCCCTGCCTGGGCTGACCTTGCTCTCGCATTTCTCCACGCCTGTGCAAGAGAAGGATGGCCCCACAGAGTGACTGGCTGTATTCTTTTCTCCTTGGCGACTCTCACACCAAGATGCAACAGGCAGAAGTGCTCAGACTTCTGCTCCTAACAACAGAAAACAAACACTACTTGTCCAACACAAGTATTTGCAGAAAACCAAGCAATATCTGGAGCAAGAAAGGCTTGCAGAGAATGTAATTTCAGTGGTCTCAGATGGTTGGTGTTTAGATCAACTGAAATGAAGTCTGAAGGTTTTTGTTTTGTTTTTCAGCACAAGAGATTTTTTTTGATTAAAGCTATAATGGCGTAAGTTTATAAACATTCTTTAGTGTTTTTATAGTACCTTTAATTCCTAATGATGCAGCATTTCCTTCTTAAACAGATGCCTAATAAACATGCTTCATATATAAATTTTAGCTCTTAAACTTTTAAAGGATTTATATTTGAAAATATAAAAATATATATGGATCAGGCATACTGGCATATGCCTGTAATTCCAGTTCTCTGGGAGGCTGAAACAGGAGGACAACAAGTTCGAGCCCAGCCTGTGCAACTTAGCAATTTAGGGAGAACTTGTGTCAAAAAGAAATTTTTAAACATGAGCCAGGGTATGGTTCAGTGTAAAGGCCCTGTGTTCAATCCCCAGTAACACAATAAAATAAAATAAAATTAAAATTAAATTAAATTTAAAACCAGAACAAATTCAACTGACTTCTAAAATAGAGGATCTTTCTAATATAAACTCTGGCTCTTCTCACAGACAACTATTCTTACCAGTTTCTTAGGAATCACTGTAGAGGTGCATATCATATGCACATGTGTGTAGAATAGTTTATTTACAAATGATAGCATACTGCATACATTGTACTGCATATTCATTCTTTCACTTAGCATATATTAGAGATAATTACATAACAAAACAAAGTATCTATGTAATATTACATCCTAATGAAATGGAATGGATGTACAATCCATTATGTAAATGGTATTTTATTTGACTGCCCTCTGTTGGTGAACATTTAGTCTGTTATCAATCTTTGCTTAAAGTAATATTAAATTAATATATATATATACATATATATGTATATGTATATAAACAGTGAAACCTTGGATTGTGAGTAACTTATCCTGCAAGTGTTCCACAAGATGAGCAAACACTTCCAGTCAATTTTAAGTTGATACAGGAGCAGTGTCTTGCAATATGAGTAGTACACGATGCAGAACATAACATAATCATAACTGAGCCAATGGTTCCTCTCTCTCTCTCTCTCTCTCTCTCTCTGTCTCTCTCTCTGTCTCTCTCTCTGTCTCTCTCTCTCTCTTTCTTTCCCTCCCTTCCTCCTTCATATTGTAGGGATCCATCTCCCAACAGCAAGAGGAGATGGAGGAGATCTCAGCAGAGGAGGAGGAGAAATGGAAGGAGGAATCCCTCACTACAAATGAGACTAGGCAGATGTGTAAAATGCAAGAAACTGCAAAATTTTGTAGAAAAGCAGCACCCAAGTAAGGCTGTAGCAGTGTTAGCGATGAATGTTTAATGATACAATGTCACATCTCCATGAAGTCATCAAAAAGGGACAAAAGCAAGCATCATTGGATAGGTTCCTTGTTAAAATTGCCTGAAATGAAAAATAGCCCATTGAGCCAATAGGTAGCAGTGATTCCAATATTGACAGTGAAAGTCGCCTTGCACAATAACCCTTCTCTCTGGTGCCTCCCTCACACCAGCCACAAAAGTTTTCAAAGGTATGTTCGGCTTCATTCATTTTTCTTCATATTTTGTATTTTATTATTTTTACATTCCAGTACTTTAATCAATTTTATAGGAATATTTTGGGTTGTGGAATGAATCACTTGAGTTTCTATTATTTCTTATGGGGAAATTCACTGTGATATACAAGTGCTTTGGATCACAACCATGTTTTTGGAATGAATTAAGCTCAAAAACCAAAGTTCTACTCTATATGTTTTCATGGGTATACATTTTTACAAATTGTTGTGTCAAAAACTATATGTATTTTAAAATTTGGTACATATTGCTTCTAAAAAGATTTTTGCCAAACTGCATCCCCAAAATAGTGTATGAAAATGCGTATTCTCTGATTACCAAATTCTTTGATTTCTGTCAATCTGCTAAATTGCAAGTCATGTCTCGTTGTAGTTTTAACGTTTTCTTTTATGGGAGGCATTGTCATTTTCTGCTAGACAGGTGCTTGTGCCATTGAGCTATATCCTCAGCTCAGGCATTGTCATTTTTTTATTCATGCATACAGTTATAAAGAGTAGTAGATTTTATCTGGTGTATTTGTATAGGTGCATGATATACTTTGACAATTTCCACCCCTATCCAAAGCATGGGTTTTATGTTTAAAATCTATTTTTCTTTTCCTTCCTGTGTATTGTCTTCCACATCCTTTGCCTATTTTTCTAATGGATTTTTATTGATCTGTAGGAACTCTTTATACATAATATAAACTTTGTTTTGCCATAAATGTTGCATGCATTTCCATTTTTATTTTGTTTATTTTTGATTATGGTTCAATCTTTAATTTATAAAAAGTTTACTTCATGAGATGATTTCTACAGATGTTTAAACTGTATGACAGTAAAATGTCAATATTCCATCTTTTAGCAGTATTTATTCTCACAATCTTTTACAATATTTTACATCTACTAGACTATAGCTTAATTCTAAAGGGAAAGGATTTTTTGTTATGCCAGTGGATTCTCCATTTAAAACATAATCTTCACTTTTTAGTTGATATGACATGGGTTTAATTTCACAATGAAATAAGAGCTTTGTGAGCATTACATGTTTAAATTTGCTCTGTGTTTGAGGGATTAACTATCATGTACCCAACTAAAATGTCTGATGTCCTAAACCCGGCCCTGGGAATACTGGTAGTAAAGGAAAATCCAAGGACCGAGACCTGAATATCCTGGCATACACTCATGTCTCTATACCTGCCCTGGCAGAAATTAACTCCATCACAGTGGATAAGGTGAGATTTGATAGAGTGCTTATACTTCAAAATGTTTCTCTACACAAAATATTTTTGAGATTTATAAATGTTGTTTTTTAAAAAAAGAGTTTGCCTGAGGATTTGGCTCAGTAGTAAAATACTTGCCTAGCATTTGTAAGGCCCCAATACCTCAAAGATAATTTTTTAATATAAAAGTAGAAATTAAAGAGGAATATAATTATTTTCTGGTTTCACAGTCAAATAAAGGCAGATAAAATAAGGAAACTTTATCTTACATGTCACATAAGGCTTGGAGCATATTGGCCAAAGATCTCAGAATTCACTCATTTTGATTCCAAATTAATTCCTACATAGTTACCCTACATTTCCCTTCAGGTCAGCAAAAGATCAGACGAACAGTATATGTGCAATTTAAGAACCTGCCATAAAGGAAGCTAAATTAGAATACTGTTTACTTACTACAGATACTAAAGGCAAATCATTTCAGTCATTAAATTGATATCAAAATTTTTTGGATTCTCCACTATATGCCAATGCTCTGAACAATATATGGATGAATTAGATATAGCTCATCTAAGCCAGCTGGTAGTAAAAGCAGTAGTCAAGAATTTAATTAATATGGCAAGCAGTTTCCAAAATCGCTCTCAAGGTATCTCGGTTTCCTGGAGTCTGTGCCTATTTTCATCCATTTTTGCTGCAATAATAAAATATAACAAGTGGGTTAATTTATAAAGAATATATATTTATTTCTCATAGTTCTGAGGGTGGGTAGTCCAAGATCAAAGCACCAACCTCTAGTCTAATGAGGGCATCTCCCTGTGTTCTCCCATAGCAGAAGACACAAAGGCAAGCTTACAGAAGTTATGTGAAGCGTCCTTTCAATAGGCTGTAATCCTGTTGAGGAAGAAGTCTGCACAGCAGACCGCCTCTCTAAGGCCTTACCTCTTACTACCATCGCATTGGCGACACCTGAAATTTAGAGGACATTGATTCAAACCAGTGCAATAAGATTTGCAAATAATGTTGTTTCCAGTTTTATTTAATACTTTACATATTTGAAATTTTGGTCACAAAGCAAATGTTGATCAACTTTTCTAGAGGTGCACACACAAAACATAGGGAAAGCAACTGATTGCTTGCCAAATTAATTTGAATGTGGCATCAACTTCATTGGACTTTTAAAAAGTCCTAATTGTTTGGAAACTGGGGTCTTTTAATACTGTTCATGGATTCATGGGTTAAAGAAATCATTTCCCTTGTTTCTCATTGCTGCAGATTCGGCGATATATTCATAGAAAAATGTAACTTCTTGCGGATTAGACATCAAGAGACCAATTTGTGCATATAAACAAAAAAATCAAAAGTAAATACATCCAGACACTATATTATTGAACTGTATAATGAATATGAATGTGTTCGCAGTGTTGCAGGCTCAAAAAACTGTACTAATCAAATGTGGTCTTTTTCATTATTCTCAAAAACTCTTCCTCATTTATTGCTCCATCTCCATCACTATCGGCTTCACTGAGCATTTCCTGTAAAACAAAACGTAAAATGAGATATGGAAACTTACAAATGGTAAGTGAACATTCAAATACATATTCAAATTTTATTTTCAATGAAAAACTACAACTAAGCTTAGAATACAGCCTCGTATACAAATTATCATATACAATTATACATAAATTGTAATGATAAAAATAAACAAGATTTGTGCTAATACTGTGTAGACAAGATAGCCAACTCGGTTTCATTGTTCTGTTCATCTTTTTTTTTAAAAAAAAAAAAGGAAAGAACAACTGGGATAGGGGAAAGGAGAAAAGAGGCAGGGAAATATATATATAGATATATAGATATATATACACACACAAGACAGCTAAGATAATTGTACTACTAATTTCTAGTGGTTTATTGAAAGAACAGTTAATATTTAATGGTTTGATCAATGTTGCATTCTTACATCTGGTAATCCGAGCATCTTCGCTGAAGATAACAATATGTAATATAACAACCATTGTTGATTCCCTATTATGTTCTTTTGAAATTCTGTATGGTTTTTATTGTTGCATTGTTTTGTTTTTGTCTTTGTTGTTGTTATTTTGGTTTTTACCTCTTTAAAATAAAATAATAAATAAACAAGATTTACCTGGAGTTCATTGTCTGTTAAATTTTCCCCTAGTTCCTTGGCAACCCGCTTTATATTATTTAGTGTTATGCTTCCAGTATTATCATCATCAAATAATTTGAAAGCCTTCAATATTTCTTCTTTTTCATCTTGTTCACTCTTTTAGAAAAAGAAATAGCTGTCGTTAGTCTTTTATTTAGTCATCCAGCTGGACTTAGTAGATCTTTGCTTCTTGATCTGCAGTGTACCAGGACTTTGTTGCTCTGACTTTCAACAATTTTTCTACTGTGCTCATATCTAACATCAAGGAACATAAATGCATGTGTGAAGCAGAAAACCCCACAAGACAATAAAGAAAATGCCTACCAGTGCAGACCCTTAACAAAACTATAAATTGCAAGAGTACAGGGAAGTTGTCTCACTCAAGGCTCCTTAGGACAGTGTCTGGCAAAAAAGAGGCACTCACTAAGTATTTAACAAATACGAGGCTTCAAAATCCTAGCCCCAATTTTTCTATCCTGCCATATACTGTAGCATCATTATTTCCTGACAAGAACCTCTTCTCCACGCATATAGTCTTTTATTACCATTCCGGAAACCTCTGCAATCTTGTTACTCCTATCTAAATCCTACCCCTCTTTAAAGTCCTAGCTCCAGTTCTCTGAAACCTCTGATTGCTCCAAAAGGTACAAGGCTACTGCTTACATATCTTTGAAAAAGAAAATCATGACTACCATTTTTATACTCATAATGGCCAAAAAATTTTCAAAATTAATGGTGCCGACTCCTTCTTGGTCGATTTCAGCTATCATCTGTTCAATTTCTTCTTTCTTTGGTTCAAATCCTAAGGCCTGCATTGCAATCTGAAATAGGAAACAAATAATTTTAACCTCCCATAATTTCATTATGAGGTTTACAGTGGCTCACTAATTAATAATCTCTTTCTCTCTCCTCGCCTCTTCTCTCTCTCTCTCTCTCTCTCTCTCTCTCTCTCTCTCTCTCTCTCTCTCTCTCTCTCTCTCTCCCACACATGGCCTGAGCATAAACCTAGGAAATTAGATCAGCAAGCCTAGATTCTGACCCACTCGTGTATAAAACACAAAATGTTTAACAAGATTTGCTAATGCAGAGCAGGTATATGTTCTTAAGAGACTTTACATTAAGTTTTCCAAAAACTACTATTAATGAAAGGTTTAAAATTTTCCACAAATAAATGATGAAGCTTTTGCGGTGTTTTAGAATTAGAAATAATTTCAGAACCTTCAATTCTTTCACATCTATGGTTCCAGACCCATCTGTGTCAAATAAGGCAAAGGCCTCTTTAATTTTTTGCTTTTGAGTTTCATTCAATTCAATCTTTGCTGCTTTTTTCTTCCATTGGTCTAAACTTGTGTAGTAGTTGGATGCCTGTAATAGATACATAAGTGGGTGAAAGAGAAATTATACAACAAATAATTGATAATGAACTAGTTAAATCTCATAAATGAACATATACAAGACTATCTTATTTCCTACTATATAATGACTCCAATAGTTTCCTCTTTTTCCCCTTGCTAACATTTGTGATTTTCATTATTGATATTTTGGTAGAAAGGTTTATGGGGGGTTTGTTGTTGTTGTTGTTTTTGTTGTTTTTCATTTAGATCTTTCCTTAGAACTAGAGCCTTTTGGAATTTGGGCATGGTAGCACGTGCCTATAATCTCGGCATTCCGGAGGCCGAAGCAGGAGGTGTACTGTGAGTTTGCGGCTACATAGTAAGTTCAAAACCAGCCTGAACTACGTAGTGAAACTTCGTCTCAAAAAGCAAAATCGAACAAACAAAACTAATGCCTTTTGAGAGGGAGAAGAAACAAAGGACAGTGTGCATGGTGTCATGTCAGAATACAATTAGCCTTACTTGGCATATCTGAAAAATATTCATTTGAAGAATATATATATTTCACAAATACCTATATGTTTCACAATAAAATTTGTTTCTTGGGGGTGACGTTTGATTGGAACACAGTATCGTTTCCCACTTTAGTCTATCACACTGTCCTGTATTACAGAGGTGGGGAAAATGAAAAGCCACGTTTTCCAGGTAAAAAAACGACTTCAAAGACTTATACAAGAATGTTGGGCAATTGTCAGTATCCACCTAATACGTAGAAGGTGGAGGTCATCTCGCTGTTTCTTATTTCCTGCCAGCAAACCAGGTCACTGTTACTCCTCTGGTCCTCTGCGACCTTACTCTGGGATCTCGTCGCCAGCTTTGGGTGAAGGACCAGTGGCAGCGCCGGCGACCCCAGGACTCCCTGTTGCTGGGGATCTAAGCCGCCAGCGCCAAGTGCGTTAAGAGTTGGGTACGATAGCTGTGGATTCGGGATTCCTAGGCTACCGATAATACCACTGTGGCCTTCATAGCTTTCCATGGCTTCATAGCTTCTGAATCCTCGCCTCGACAACTCAGGAAGTCAGTAGTTCCTCTGCCAGTCAGGAGTCCACGGTCCGCTACCTAAGCCCTCCGACAGCTTTGAACATCTTATTCTCTGCACTCAATTCCTTGCTACCTAAAGAGCGGTTTTTGTTTCTAATACGCAGCCTACGGAGACTGTTGGCATTTGAGATTGTTAGGGTTGATGGGATTAATTGGAGACCCACTCATCTATTCCTGGAGTTATGGACGTTATGGAGTTGGTGACCTGAAGAGGGTTACTAACGACACTCGAAGAACGTGAAACAGAGAAATGATACATTTCATACATTAAACGAAATCCTTCCCTTGACTAGCCCCTCTCAGGAGGTTACAGCATGGCACTCACCATGTTCCCAACTAGTGCCCTCAAGCCTGGGACTCCAGGAGTCACAGGTCGGCTGCACTGAGCAACTGCCGCGTTCGCAGCTAGGAAACAGTTGCTAAGGCAGCGCTCCGGGCGTTACAGTCCCCGCCCCCGAGCGCTATTGATTGACGGTCATTCCATCCAATAGTCAAAAAAGAAAGCCCTTGAGGCCCGCCCCCTTCTACTCCCTACCAGTAGCGTGGTGCGTCCGCCTTTCTCCGCCCACCGCCAAGCGGAAATTTCCTCCCCAGCCGGATTTCTTAAAGCAGCAGACCGCCCCCTTCCCACACCGAGCTGCGGAGGCAGAAGGGGATTCTCGCCGTGTTAGTGTGGATTCCAGCCAGAACCGCCCCTGCTGTGGGAACCCGGAGACTCTAGCCCCACCCCGACAGGGGAGAAAGCCCTGAGGTTAGTAGCGAGTTGCTTCCCCAGACTAACTCTGGTGAAGACGTGGAGAGACCTTGTTTGGTTTTCTGACTTCGGTTCCCGGAAGGGATAAGAATCTAGTCTGGTGGTCTGCGACGAATTGGCCCGGCATCCGGCGGGAAGCACTGCGGAGGAAGAGGACTGTCCTCTGCTCGCGGCTGGACATTCCTCGGGCCCCAAGGTGCCTGGGCCGTTAGCCGGTTCCCTCCCGCGTGGACAGCAGGGCTGCTGTCATAGGAGGCATCAAAGCTTCAGGGTAGGCGGGGCATCGGGCAGCCCGGTGGTGGGAATGGGGGAAAGGAATGGGCAGCTTCACTGCTGAACAGGAGACTTTCACACGTGATGTGGTATTGTAAGGGTAGGAACGAATAGGTGATAGTGTCTTTATACTCCTAACCTTTGATTGCCTGTATATTAGGACCCCTTTTATGCGTCCTGCAATCCTTTTCTAGAGTAAATACTTCATTTTCCAAAATCTTACAGGATTCTCCAACAGTGGATTTAGGGAGAATATTAACTTGGCCTAGTCTTTCTTTCCTTTGCCTCATTTAATCTCCTTGAAGGTAGAGCCAAAAAAATATGCCAAGCACATTCTTGAAGCAGTTTCCCAAATCACTCTTTATACATTAGTAAATCATTCATGACACATTTTCCAAACCTGTCTTGTTAACGTTGTATCTCAGGCAGACACCCAAACATTGCAATTATTAAGTCTACTTAGGCTTCTGGGAAATAGGTAACGTTATCTTAACATTAGAAGTGATTTTTCAGGGAAAATGAAAGTTGTATAAATTCAGGATATTTATGAATTAAGTAAGATGTTAAGTCACTTAAGTACAATGTTTTTTCAGCCTATTTAGCTTACCTGGAAAGCTGCCGTTGATCAGTTTTGCGGTCATATACTTCATCTTTAACACTAATTCGAAAGGCATTTCTAAGACCTAGAAATAAATATTGACCAAGTGTATACCCAACTTAATTCCAGTTTCTAGGCTTTCTTGGATTTAGTTTAATCTAGAGGTAATTAATAGGCTAAAGAGTGTTAGCCTGTTTTTAACACCACTATGATTTAAGCTCTTATATTTAATATAGTTAGTAATATTTTTAATGATAAGCTCTGATTCCAGTTCTTTTTTTTTTTTTTTTTT